GTTTTTAGTAGAGACGGGGTTTCACCATGTTGGCCAGGATGGTCTCAATTTCCTGACCTCATGATCTGCCCACCTCGGCCTCCCAAAGTGCTGGGATTACAGGCATGAGCCACCACGCCTGGATCTGTCCACATTTTCTATGACTTCTTGAGTCAGTTTTGATAATTGGTGTACATTTACAAATTTGTCCATTTTGTCCAAGTTGTCTAATTCATTAGCATAAAGTTTTTATAGAATTATCTTGTCATCCTTTTCCTTTCCATAGGGTCAGTGGTCTTGCCTCCTAATTTTGGTGATGTGTCTTCTCTCTTCTTGGTCCATCTAAATATTTGTCAATTGTTTGATCTTTTCAAAGAATCAACTTTGGTTTCACGAATTTTCTTTATTGTTTTTTAAATTTTTCCATTGCAATGATTTCCATTCAAATCTTTATCATTTCCTTACCTCTGCTTGCTTTAAGTGTAGATTGCTACATTTCTACATTCTTTTTTTTTTTTTTGAGACGGAGTCTTGCTCTGTCGCCCGGGCTGGAGTGCAGTGGCCGGATCTCAGCTCACTGCAAGCTCCGCCTCCCAGGTTTACGCCATTCTCCTGCCTCAGCCTCCCGTGTAGCTGGGACTACAGGCGCCCGTCACCTCGCCCGGCTAGTTTTTTGTATTTTTTAGTAGAGACGGGGTTTCACCGTATTAGCCAGGATGGTCTCGATCTCCTGACCTCGTGATCCGCCCGTCTCGGCCTCCCAAAGTGCTGGGATTACAGGCTTGAGCCACCGCGCGCGGCCCATTTCTACATTTTTAAGGTGGGAGCTTAGATTATTGGTTTCAAATCTTTCTCCGTTTTTCTTTTCTTTCTTTTTGAGACAGAGTCTCGCTCTGTCACCCAGGCTGGAGTGCAGTGGCACAACCTCTGCCTCCTGGACTCTAGTGATCCTTCCGCTTCAGCATCCCAAGTAGCTGGGACTACAGGCACGTGCCACCACGCCTGGCTAATTTTTGTAGAGACGGGTTTTGCCATTGTTGCCCAGGCTCATCTCCGGCTCCTGAGCTCAAGCAATCTGCCCGCCTTGACCTCCTAAAGGGCTGGGATTACAGGCAGGAGCTACCGTGCCACCCTCTCCTTTTCTAATATAGACATTTAAAGCTATACATTTCCCTTTAAGCACTGCTTTAGTCGTATTCCATAAATTCCTGTATGTTGTTTTCATTTTCGTGCAGTACTTTCTAATTTCCTTTGTGATTTATTCTTGATTCATGGCTTATTTAGAAATGTGTTAAATTCTGGCCGAGCCCGCTGGCTCACGCCTGTAATCCGAGCACTTTGGGAGGCCGAGGCGGGTGGATCACCTGAGGTCAGGAGTTCAAGACCAGCCTGACCAACATGGTGAAACCCTGTCTCTACTAAAACTACAAAAATAAGCCGGGTGTGTTGGCAAGCGCCTGTAATCCCAGTTACTCAGGAGGCTGAGGCAGGAGAATTGCTTGAGCCCAGGAGGCGGAGGTTGCAGTGAGCCGAGATCAGGCCATTGCACTCCAGCCTGGCCGACAGAGCGAGACTCTGTCTCAAAAACAAAAAACAAAAAACAAAAACAAAAACAAAAACCAAACGAAACAAAACAAAAATGTGTTAATTTCTAAATATTTGTGGGTTTCCCCAATTTCATTCTCTTGTCGATTTCTAGTTGTTATAGTAAGAAAATATGTTTTGTAGAATTTAAGCCCTTTAAAATTTTTTGAAACATGTTTTATGGTCTAGCATAGATCTATGCCTGGAGTGTGTTCCATATGTGTTTGAAAATAATGTGTATTCTGCTGTTGTTGACTGCAGTGTTCTATTGATGTCAGCTAGGTCACATCAGGTTTATGGTGTCCAAGTCTTCTATATCCTTGATGATTTCATTTCCAGTTGTTCTACTAATTCCTGAGAATGGTTATTGAATTCTCCAACTGCTATTTCTGAATTGTCTATTTTTCCCTTTGTTTCTGTCAGATTTTTGCTCTGTGTGTTTCGAGGCTCCTTTGTTAGAGGTGTGTGTGTATATATATATACACACCAGGTCCCAAATTGACACCAGGGTCTATGTGGACACTCAGGTCCCAGATAGAAAACAGGCCCAAGGTGGACACTAGACTGGACATCAGTCTAGTATATATATATATATATATACACACACACACACACACACACAGTTTTATAAATATATATTAAATATATTTTTAAATAAAATAAACATTTATATAAAATTTTATACATTTATATAAAATTTAAAAATATATTTTTCTGATGAATTGACCATTGTATCATTATAAAATGACCCTTTTGTGTTTAGTAACATTTTCCAACTAAATTTCTATTTTGCCAGAAATCAGTATAGCCACTCCAGCTCATTTATGTTACTCTTTGCATGTTAGATATTTTTCTATCATTTTACTTTCAATGTATTCGTAACTTTGAATCTAAAGTGTGGCTTTTATAGGTAGCATACGGTTGGATCCTCTCTTTATCCTAATTTGAGAGCCTCTGCCTTTTGATTGGAGAATTTAGTCAATTTATTTCTGGTATAATTATTGATATGGTTAGATTTACATCTGCCATTTTGAGATGTTTTCCTTAGTTCTTATATCTTTTTTGTTCTCTTTCTTTTTTTTTTTTTGTTAGATATTTTATTTTATTTTTTATTTTTGAGACAGTGTCTTGCTCTGTAGCCCAGGCTAGAGTTCAGCGGCACTATCATGGCTTACTGCAGTTTCTAATTCCTGGGCTCAGGCGATCTTTTTGCTTCAGCCTCCTGATTAGCTGGGACTGCAGGCATGTACCACCACACCTGGCTATTGAATACATAAAGACACCAAGTCTTTATCTATTAAATGCAACATGTGGACATCCTCAGAGACAGTTTCTAGTGGACTGGTACTTTTTTTTTCCTGTGTATGGACCAGAATTCTCTGTGTGTGCAGTTTGTTTTGCATGTCTCATAATTGTTAAAAAGTTGACACTATAGATAATATATTTTAGTAATACTGGATTATGATCCCACCCTCCACAGTTATTATTTTTGCTGTTGTTTTTTGTTTAGGGACTTGTGGGGACTAATTCTGTAGTTTTTTTCTTCCCTCAGTGTGCAGCTACTGATGTCTCTTAGTTTTTTTTTTTTTTTTAGACGGAGTTTCACTCTTGTTGCCCAGGCTGGAGTGCAGTTGTATGATCTCCGCTCACTGCAACCTCCACTTCCCAGGTTCAAGAGATTCTCCTGCCTCAGCCACCCATGTAGCTAGAATTACAGGCATGTGCCACCACACCTGGCTAATTTTGTATTTTTAGTAGAGATGGGGTTTTACCATGTTGGCCAGGCTGGTCTCGAACTCCTGATCTCAGGTGATCTGCCTGCCTCAGCCTCCCAAAGTGCTGGGATTACAGGTGTGAGCTGCCACACCTGGCTGGTTTTTAAATAATTCTTTCTGTTTTTATACCTGGCTTCCTTGGGGTCACCTGTGGGTCTGCATAGCTTATTTTTATCCAATGATTGCTTAAAAGTTGTGGTTATACACCTCAAACCAGTATGGCTTCCACTAAGGGGGTAAATGTGTGAGTTTGAGTACACATATTAAGTTCAGGCTGCTTGTAAGCCTGTGCTGGCATTCATTTCAGCTTGCATAGGGTCTCACATTCATCCAGGGACCTGATATTTTGTGGTCATGTACACAGCCTTCCACATCCTCATGCATACGCGTGGGCTTATCAATTCCCACTATTGCTGTCTTATTTTCCATATCCCCTTAATTTGTTGTCTGGTCTGCTGCTCACCCAAACAATGCTGCAGCCTCAGGCAGTTGTGAGGTTGGCCTTCCCCAGTTACTTGCTACCAACATTGTTGTTGTTTTTGACAATACCCCTAAGCATGGAGCTTTTCTCTGGAGCTCAGAGTCAGGTCAGCTCCCTCCATTTACAGTGAGGCTTCCATTCCTCATGGCTACCATGCCCACAGAGCTAAGGACGGGAGCAGCTCCAAGTAAATGCCACAGACCCCACGATTCTTATCAAGGTTTGGTAGTTTTTCCATCAATAAACACTTTTCAATTTGACACATGCTTTTGGTGAATTGCCAGCGTTCTAAAATGCTCATTTTTGACCATTTAAAAAATGTTTTATAGTTGCTTTTGGGGGAGGGGTTTTGATGAGCTCCTCACCCTACCATTCCAGAAGCTCTACCTCTGGACAAGTGATTGTTTTTTTCTTTTTTAAGAGACTGGGTCTCACTCTGTCACCCAGGCTGGAGTGCAGTGGTGTGGATCATAGCTCCCTGCAGCCTCTAGCTCCTGGGCTCAAGCGATCCTCCCACCCTAGCCTTCTGAGTAGCTGGGACTATAGGCATGCACCACTACCTGGCTAATGTAAAAAAATTTTTTTTAGAGACAGGATCTTGCCATGTTGCCCAGGCTGGTCTTGAACTCCTGGCCTCAAGTGATTCCCCCCTCATCAGCCCTGCAAAACACTGGGATTACAGGCATAAGCCACCATGTCTGGCCTGGACAAGTGACTTTTGACAAAAGTCAAAATATTGAGAAAGGGTATTTTTAAACAAATGGTGTGGAAACATTTGAATATCCATAAGCAAAAACAAAACAAAAACAAAAAAGAGCTTGGATCCATATTTCACACCATATAACTCAAAATAGATGCCAGACCTGGATGTAAAACTTAAAACCTTTGGAAGAAAACACAGGAAAAAAATCACTGTAATCTTTGGTTAGGCAAGGATTTCTTAGATACAGCACTCAAAGCACAACCCAGAAGTGAACAACTGGAAAGACTGGACTTCTTCAAAATGAGCAGTTGTGTTCTTCAAAAGACACTCTTAAGAGAATGAAAAGACAATCCAGAGACCGGGAGAAAACCTTTGCAAGGATAATGGACTGATAATGAAGTTATACCCAGAATATATTTTTAAAAACTCTCAGTGTTCAACAGTAAAAAAAACAACCCGGTTGATAATGGGCAAAAGATTTGAACAGACACTTCATCAAAGATTTTCAATAAAACATGATCAATATTATTAATCATTAGGGCAATGTAAATTAATATCACAATATCACTTCACATGTACTAGGATAGCTATAATAAAAAAGACTGATAATAATAAGAGTTGGTAAGGATGTGAAGAAACCGGAACCCTCATACATTGATAGAATGTAAAATGGTACAGTCATGTGAGGAACAGGCCTAGGTCTCAGGTCTCAGCCATCACTCATCTAACCTGGGGAGATACTACAATGGTTTGGAGGACAAGAAAATAAAAACGAAAATCTGTTTGGAGGACAAGAAAAAAAAAAAACCGAAAAACGAAAACTGACATATCACTATATGCCCACCACTAATAGCTATAGTAAAAAAGATGGAAAATGCCAAATGTTGGCAAGTATGTGGAGCACTAGAACTCACATACTGTGTTGCTGGGAGTGTACATTGGTACAACCACTTGAAAACTGGTTTTATAACATATAGCTGAACATATGGATACACTTAGGTACATACCTAACAGGAATACACACATATGTTCACCAATACACAGCAGCACAATTCCTAATAGCCCAAGCTGCAAACAACCCAAATGTCTACAAACAGTAGAATGGATAAATTATATTGCAGCATATTCACAGAATGGGATACAACATGACAATGAGAATGAATTATCTACAATATATGCAACATATGGATGACTCTCACATACATAACGTGAATGACAGAAGACAGATGCCAAAGAGTATATTGCTCAATTATATGATATATAATTGTTTGGCTCAATTTATATAAAATACAAAACAGGCAAAATGAATCTATGCTGTGAGAAGCCAAGGTAGTGTGTACCCTTGGGGGCTTGCCCGGAAGGGAAAGTGGGGAAGGCTTCTGGGGTGTGGTCATGTTCTGTTTCTTGACCTGAGTATGTTCATTTTTGAGAATGCATTGAGCTGTATGTTTATGATATATGCATTTTCTATATACAGTTTAATAAAAATATTTTAAAATAAAATAAAAACACAATTGCATGCTAGAAAGAAAGTTCCTTTTTATGAGTGTTGTAAAAAAAAGTTTAAGGGAAAATGAGAAAGTGTCTATATATCAGTGTTAAAAAAGAGCAGTGATCTTTCTTGAGAAGTCTTCCAGTTATTCAACTATGATAAACTGTAATTATGTTTTAGAATAACTAATTGCAATGCAACATGACTTTATCCCATAGCAGTCTATACAAAACTACCCTTAATGTGCATGTAGGAAATGAAATGAATATACCTTAACCAAATAGGAAGAAAAACAAAATATTAGGAAGTGAAACCTAATTTTTCAACCATTCTTTTTCAAACAGGAATCCCAAGGAAAGCAGGGGTGTTGGTGGGTGAGCCTGAAAATCTAGAGCGCTGTGGATCAGTTCCATTGTTGTAGGGTCAGTTACTGAGGGGATAAGGAATCTATGGCCTGCAGCTTATGCAAATGACAGCTTTGGGGAAACAGGTTAGAAGGCATGCATACCTCTTATAGGGTATGACTCACCTGCTCTCCCAGCAGGGGATTAATAATGAGACAACTACTACCTTTATATGTCTGTATCATTCAATGACTATGTTTCTGTAACACAGGCTAGAGCTAGGCCTAATTTCCCAATTCATAAAGTTATACCTTTAAATTTAAAAATTCTGTTGCACTTAAAATACATATACCATGAGGACTTCCCAAGGGAAGGGAAAAAACAGTTTTTCATGGGAATCTTTTCTGTGACTGAAGTGCCAATGATCACAAAAACAGATATCTGCATTCCCAAGTAGATTTCCTGCCTTGATGTCAGTGCCCTGCCAGTGTTTGGACAATGAAAACTCTTCTCCCCAACCTAGAAATTTGAAAAAGTGTTTCCCAGTAGCGAGTACTTTTATGTCCCCGGATATGCTGAACTAATCAGTACTGAATTTAAAAAGTTCTTTATCCAAAAAGTGAAGCATGGGAGATGACAAGTCATCTCCTCGGGTCTTAATTCTACTATTTCCAGAAGCTCAAGAGGTCTGTATGAATCATGTCACCAAACATGACTATCGCTCAAATGCTTTCTCTAAAGGCTCTTCCTATGCGTTGAATTGCATATACACTGTGGTGATGCAGGAACTTGTCTTTCCAGTGGACTGAAGGATACTTGGCTCTGTTTGCCCTCAGTTCACTCAAGCCTCAGTCTCTCAAATCCATTTCCCCCTGCACAACAATTGCAGCATCAGGCCTTCCTCGTCCCTACTATTAGATACCTGATGCATACCCAGTTGTGATTTCCAGGTGAAGATTTTCTCAGTCACTGGCTTTATAGCGTTTTTCTCCACTATGCGTTTTCTGGTGTTTAATGAGATTCGATCTGTCGGTAAAGGCCTTCTGACATTCTGTACAAGCATAAGGTTTCTTTCCTGTGTGAATTATCTGATGCATACTTAGTGTGGCTTTCTGGATGAAAGCTTTCCCACATTTACTACATTCATAGTGTCTTTCTCCAGTATGAGACTTCTGATGTATATTGAGGCGTGACTTCCAGGTGAAGGTTTTCCCGCAGTCACCACATTTATAGGGTTTCTCCCTAGTGTGGATTTTCTGATGCGTTATGAGATTTGATCGGTCAGTGAAGGCCTTCCCACACTCAGCACATATATTGGGCTTCTCACCTGTGTGGATTTTCTGATGCACACGGAGTTGTGACTTCTTAGTGAAGCATTTCCCACAGTCGCTGCATTCATAAGGCTTCTCTCCAGTATGGATTCTATGATGCGCAATGAAGTGTGATTTCTGGATAAAGGCCTTCCCGCATTCAGGACAAACGTAGGGTTTCTCTCCTGTATGGATTCTCTGATGCACACTTAGTGTTGATTTCTGGATAAAGGCTTTCCCGCAGTCCTTGCATTCATAGTGTCTCTCTCCAATATGAGATTTCTGATGTATTTTGAGGCGTGACTTCCATATGAAGGCTTTTCCACAGCCATTGCACTTATAGGGTTTCTCTCCAGTGTGAGTTTTCTGGTGTTTAATGAGATTTGACTGGTCAGTAAAAGCCTTTCCACATTCAGCACACATATAGGGTTTCTCCCCAGTATGAGTTTTCTGATGTGTGGTGAGGTTTGTCCTGTGAGTGAAGACCTTTCCACATTCTGTACATATATAGGGTTTCTCTCCGGTGTGAATTCTTTGATGCACATGGAGTTGTGACTTCTTAGTGAAGGATTTCCTGCAGTCGCTGCATTCATATGGCTTTTCTCCAGTGTGAATTCTCTGATGTGTGTTGAAATGTGATTTCTGGATGAAGGCCTTCCCGCAGTCAGCGCATACATAAGGTTTCTCTCCTGTGTGGATTCTCTGATGCATCCTGAGTGCTGATTTTCTTGTGAAAGCCTTCCCACATTCATTGCATTCATAGTGTTTCTCTCCGGTATGAGTTTTCTGATGTATACTGAGGTCTGAGTTCTGGGAGAAGCCTTTTCCACATTCACTGCATTCATAAGGTTTTTCTCCTGTATGAATTCTCAGATGTCTAAAGAGGTCTGATCTCTGGATAAAGGCTTTTCCACATTCACTGCATTTGTAGGGTTTCTGGCCGGTATGAATTTTTTGATGTGTAACGAGGCTTGATTTGAAGGTAAAGACTTTTCCACATTGAGTACACAGATAGGGTTTTTCTGCTGTATAAACACTCAGATGTGCATCAACCTGGGGTTTCTGGGGGAAGACTTTGTTGCTCTTGTCACATTCACGGGACTTTTCTCCAGCATGAATTCTCTGATGCTCAAACAGATGTGACTTCTGAGTGAAGCCTGTTACACATTCAGTACACACATAAAGCTTCTCCTCAGGATGAATTTTCTGATGGTGGGTGAGAGCTTGTTTGTGGCTGAGATGTTTTTCATAGTGATCATGTTCACAGGAATTTGCTCCTGTCTTAGCATTCTCAATCTTAGTAGAGGAAGGGCTATGGGGGAAATTGTTACCATTTCCAAAAATCTTGCCAAGGTTCTTTGTTGCACTGTTTCTACTATGATTATGTAAGTTTAAAGTATGCTTCAAAATTGTGTCACAGTTACGGAGTCTTTTAATTGAAGGAACAAACTTGGTAGTCACATGAATTATTTTTTCAATGTTTTTACGTTCATAGCCCCTCTCCTTAATCAATACTTTCACATGACTTAAAAGGTTATTCTGGTTTTCCTGACATCGCTCTAACTGGTCATTATCTTGCCACAGTGCTTCTAAAATAGAACACAATGAATCTTCTCCTATGGGTTGATCAAATCTCTCACAGTGGAAGAAAATTTCTCCAGGAATTCCCTGTTGCTGCATTTTCTCAATAGCCTCACCTAAAAAGAAAAAGAAATGAAAATGACACAAAGAACAATTAGCAGAGGCTACAGGGGACATGTAGTTCAGACAAGATGAACACAGATAAATGGAAGAGCCCACAGAACAATATAGTAGCAATCATGTAGCAACACAACATTTTTATAGAACACTTAATAAATGCAAAACAACTATATACCATTTATGATGCACAGGGACTGTTACAAGTGCTTTACATGAAACAGCTCATTTAATCCTCACTAAACCCTATGAGGTAGCTACGATTATCAATTGTTTTACAATTGAGAAAACAGGCACAGAGAAGTCATGCAACTTGCTGAATATCGAATAGCTAAATAAGTGGGAGAGATGGGATTTGAACCCTCGGAGTCCAGCTCCACTATGTAAGAGGCCTAGATTGTGAGTAGAGTAACCAGAAGAAACTGCAGCCTGTGAAGGGGAAGCCTGGCATGGAAGAAATATTTCAGAAGGTATGTTCTTAATACATATCAGCTTCACCACTTTACTAAACTCCCTGCTTCTTCTTCCTTTTCCCTCTATACCATTATGAGTGGAGCTCTTCAAATTTAATGTGAATTTGAACATTAAATCTATATGCCTCAAACACCAATTTCTTTATATCTATAGGAAAACCAGTTGCAACACGCCATCCTGACACAGACAAACAGTAAATAGATATCTGCACTCCAACTCTATAACCAGCTGCAAGTTTCTTTTTTTCTTTTTTTGTTTTTTGAACTGGAGTCTCGCTCTGCAGCCCAGGCTGGAGTGCAGTGGTGCAATCTTGGCTTACTGCAACCTCCGCCTCCCGGGTTCAAGCGGTTCTCCTGCCTCAGCCTCCCGGGTAGCTGGGATTACAGGCGCCTGCCACCACACCCAGCTAATTTTTGTAGTTTTAGTAGAGACGGGGTTTCACAATGTTGGCCAGGCTGGTCTTGAACTCCTGACCTCAAGTGATCTGCCCACCTCGGGCTCCCAAAGTGCTGGGATTACAGGCGTGAGTCACTGCGCCGGCCCCAGGTGCAAGTTTCTATTGGTTCCAGGAATACATGCTTATAGCAAGAAGTATAAAAGAGGAAAGGAAAAGCTATCTGTGGCAGAATCTGCAGGCCCTCCCCTGAGATCTATTCTCCCCATCTTTCACAGGAATAGAATGTGGCTGGGACTTAACATCCACTGGCCTCACTGCGTTCTCACCAGTAGAATACGAGCAGAAGTGATATATGCTACTTGCAGGCCAGCCTTAAGACAGTGGGCAAATCTCCTCTATTTCCTCTTCCCTCTTCCCACTGGACTCCACAGTGACCCATCATTAACCAGGTAGGTGACAACGATGCCCCAGGAGATGCCAGAGGAGTGACTTAGAACATGGTCCCTGAATGACCCGTCAGGATTAGAGTTGACTTATTGAACTGGACCCATTCACCTTAGAATTTTCATGTAGGGGAAGATATACATCTATATTTAGCCTCTTGTTTTGTTCCTCCATGCATATCCAAAATGTATTGTCTTTCTAAATATTAGTTCTAATTTTGGTATACTTCTAGGGTGCTTATGTTTGCTATGAATTTGTAAAGCAGACACTGTACCATTCATATTGATACTTAGTTTGGCACAGTTTTATAACAGAAAGGACAAATACACAAAGGGTGAGAGTGTTAACATTTCATGCAGTCATCTTCCCTTTCCAAATATAATGTATGTTCCTTTGAATTCCTCTGAGCAGACACTTGAAAATTTCATCTGAAAGAGAAAAAATCTCCTCCTCTGCCTCTATCCCCAAATTCAATAAATTCATTTACTAAATATTTTCTACATGCTCCACTTCAGAAAAGTGAAGAATAAGTGTGCTGGTTATCAATGTTTTGCCTCTCAGTTCCAAATTCACCCTTCCTTGCCTGCTCAACAAAAACGGATCTGGCCCCATTTACCCTGATGTGATTATTACACATTGTATACCTGTATCAAAATATCCCATGCAGGCTGGGTGCAGTGGCTCTTGTCTGTAATCCTCAGTACTTTGGGAGGCCGAGGTGGGTGGATCACTTGAGGCCAGGAGTTTGAGACATGGAAAAACCCCATCTCTACTAAAGATACAAAAATTAGCTGGGCATGGTGGTATATGCCTGTAATTCCAGCACTTTGCAAGGCCGAGGTGGGCGGATCACCTGAGGTCAGGAGTTTGAGACCAGCCTGGCCAACATGGCAAAACCCCGTCTCTACTGAAAATACAAAAATTAGCCAGGCATGGTGGCATGCACCTGTAATCCCAGCTACTCAGGAGGCTGAGGCAGGAGAATCGCTTGAACCCGGGAGGTGGAGGTTGCAGTGAGCTGAGATTGCACCACTGCACTCCAGCCTGGGTGACAGAGTGAGACTCTTTCTCAAAAATAAAAAACTCCAAAACCCCCAAATATCCCATGTACCCCATAAATATATATACTTATGTACCCATAAAAATTAAAAATTTAAAAAGTGGATCTCAGTCTCTTTAAATATTTTTTTCTTCTGCCAGCTGGCATGATATTAAACTTTGTCAGTGTAAGATGCTAGAGAGACACTGCAGGAGGAGGGGGGCTTGCTTCCTGGTTCTAGGGTGCTCACTCAACAGGCTCATCCAGCAGGGGCAGCCTGTCCAGCACCAGGCTCATGTAGTGTGGGCATCTTTGCCAACACTTGGCTCCTGATGCACATGTAGTGTCCCCAGTACCCAGAGCTCATGGTCTTCTCTAGAGCTCGGCTCCTGCAGTGTGGGTGACTTCTCCAGCACCCAGCTCCTGCAGCTCATATGGATTCCCAAGCACCTAGTTCCTGCAGGCCCCCGCAGCACTGTACAGTCAGCAGCACCCAACACCCCCTAGTTTACTCTCAGATGATTTGTAGTGGAATAGCTCCAGTGAGTCACCTCTGTATCAACAGTTTCCTCGGGAATCCTAGAGGGCAGGTTTCCAGCAAGTTCCACCAGGACAGCACCATAGCAAGTATTCTACCTGCCTCAAGCCATGGTTGTGCCCTCCCTACAAGGTCTGAATCTCATCCCTGGGAAGTAGGGAGCCTCTTCCTTGGGTACTCGCTCACAACCCTAGAAGAACCTGCTGTGCTTTCTATCTGCTATTCCTTTATTCTTCAGAGTTTCTTTTTTTGCTAGCAAATCCCTCATTATTCCAGTCCCACGGCTCACTGCAACCTCGACCTCCTGGGTTCAAGTGATTCTCCTGCTTCAGCCACCCGATAACTGGGATTACAGGCGTGGGCCACCATACCCAGCTAATTTTTGTATTTTTAGTAGAGATGGGGTTTCACCATGTTGGCCAGGCTGGTCTTCAACTCTTGACCTCAGGTGATCCACCTGCCTTGTCCTCCCAAAGTGCTGGGATTATAGGTGTGAGCCACCATGCCCGGCTGCAAAGAATCTTTATGTTAACCACTCTCTGTTCCCATTAGTCTGTGGTTTCTCCCTTGGTAAGACCCTGAGTTATACTATAAGAAATAGGCTCTTCATGTATGCATATTTCAAAACATCATGTTGCACTATATAAATACATACAATTCTTTTTTGTCAAATTAATAGATTTTTCTATAAAAAGAAACAGGCTCTTTTTTCTTAAAATTTTTTTTTGAAATAGAAATGGAACCTTGTTGTGTTGCCCAGGCTAGTCTTGAACTCCTGGCCTCAAGTGATCCTCCTGCCTCAGCCTCCCAAAGTTCTGGGTTTACAGACGTGAGCTACCACACTCAGCCTGAAATAGGCTCTTAATTCCAGAGACCTTCTGAAAACATAGAGGTAAAAGCCTCAGTTACCCTATAGGCTAAAATCCTGTGATTTTCTCAGAATTCTTGTGCGATGGAGGATGAGAAAAAGGAAAGAGCCATACAGGCTGGAATAATTAAGAGCCATTTTGTGAGACAGGTGAGAACTGATCACAAGGTGGAAAATGTCTCATCTGAATAGAGCACAGAATAAACAGACAGATTCAGGGAGGACTATCAGATATGGTCAACGTTAACAAATATTAAAAATGGAGTTAAGCAGAAGTTACAGAAAATATACAGATATGAGTTGAATTGGAAATATGTGGCCATGTTTTTTATCTCCTTGAAAGAAGAGTTTAATTGTTATATACTAGGTAATGGAGAACAATTGTAGGTTTGTTTCATAATGCTCATGACAAGAGAAATAGAATGTTTTAGGTAAAGATATCTGTCATTAGCATCTAATATGAAGTAGTAAAAACAATGGAATCAGCAAATCAAATCAGGAATAGAATAATTGCAATTCAGGCAGCAGAAAATATGGAGCTGGCTGGGCGCAGTGGGTCACACCTATAATCCCAGCACTTTGGGAGGCCAAGGCAGGCAGAAACACTGAGGAAGCCAGAACCCTTGTACAGTGCAGCTAATCTGAGAATAATATGGTGGTACTCAGTCCTATTCTGGATGAGATACTCCATGATTAGGCGCAAATCCTCTCTTCTCTACACATCCCTGAGAAATTCTCACACCCTATAAGGAAATGTTTATGTAGAAGTTGATTGCAGAATTGTTTGTATTAGATGGGACTTGGACACAACGCCCAGCATCCATGACTAGGTGAGTGGTTAAGTATGATGTGGTGCTGGGGACATTGTGAAATACTATGTAGCAATTTAAAGAATAAAGTCAGACAAACACACTAAAATATGGAGAGACCATAGGAATGAGTGGGAAAAAAAAGGAACAGAATTGAGAAACATAGTATAATGTGTTTTATATATACTAAAAATACATACTCATAAACCAATACTTCAGGCTTTAAGAGAATATCACACAATTTCAAGGTTCAAACACATTAGACCAGCTGCTCATAGGAGGAGGCATAAAGAATGGATATGGAGAATTGGAATAAAAGAAAAGACCTGGCTGGGCGCGGTGGTTCATGCCCGTAATCCCAGCACTTTGGGAGGCCGAGGCGGGCAGATCACCTGAGGTTGGGAGTTCGAGACCAGCCTGACCAACATGGAGAAATCCCATCTCTACTAAAAATACAAAATTAGCCGGGCGTGGTGGCACAGGCCTGTAATCGCAGCTACTAGGGAGGCTGAGGCAGGAGAATCGCTTGAACCTGGGAGGTGGAGGTTGCGGTGAGACGAGATTGTGCCATTGCACTCCAGCCTGAGCAACAAGAGCAAAACTCTGTCTCAAAATAAATAAATAAATAAATAAATAAATAAAAATAAAAATTAAAATTAAAAGACCTATAATCCCAGCAAAGACCTATAATCCCAGCACTCTGGGAGGCCGAGTCAGGCAGATCAGTTGAGCCCAGGAGTTCGAGACCAGCCTGGCCAACTTGGTGAAATCATGTCTCTACAAAAAATACAAAAATTAGCTGGGCCATGGTGGCGTGTGCCTGTAGTCCCCACTACTTGGGAGGCTGAGGTGGGAGGATCACTTGAACCTGGGAGGTGGAGGTTGCACTGAGCCGAGATCATGTCACTGCACTCCAGCCTGGGCAACAGAAATTTTAAAACACTTGGATGTACAAGAAAAGACTAAGATGGGGGGCAGGGGTAGAGTAGGAAGAACAAAAAGGTACTAGATAAGACAGGGTGGTATGTGGTACAGAGTACAGAGACTAGAGATAGTTCTCTTGCCAAAAGGCCAATCAAAGAAGACAATAATGTGGCAAGGATCATACATGGAAACGGCATTTAGGTATTTGAGGGCTATTGTCAACTATCTCCAATTGACTCCAAAAGTTTAGAACTTTCAAGATGGGTTATCTTCAGAATGTTTCAAAGGCATCAGGTTTTCCTAGGGAAAGTGAGACTGACTTCCATGTCCCTGTCTGTCTGGGTCACACCCACTCACCTGAACAGCTCTGATGTGGGGCTTCCCCCGCCAGCGTCCATGGCCCCTCTCCTTGCTCCAACTTGAAGGCGGCCTCTGACTTGGGAACTTGGTACCCTGTTAACAGGACATGATACATGATTGGGTCCAGCTGACTGGATTTCAGGGGCCTTTCACTGACAGTTTCCCTTCGCTTTTCAGAAAAATAAACACATTTCACTGGGAACAGAGTAATAATCACAGAGGTGAAAAGGAACTGAATCCCAGACACATCCAGGATGACACCATCACATAGTTTAGGTGTCGGGCAGCACTCAGCAGCTGAGAATGGAAATACCCTCACTAGCAGATGCATAGGGCGGCTGTGCTTACCCACTGAGAGCAGGTGGCTGTAGTTCTCTAGTGTCACATCCCAGTACAGGCGTCTCTGGGCAGGATCCAAGTGCTGCCACTCCTCCCTGCTGAAGTCCACAGTCACATCCTCAAATGACACTGAAGCCTGTAACGACACAATCCTGTTCAAGGCAGCATGGTCAGCACTGGGGGATGGAAGAAGGTAGATAGCAAGCTGTTTTTAATGCTTTTTACCATAATGTATCATGTAGGGTTTTCACTAAGTACCTAGTTTTGTATTTTATTTTGTGAGAGTTAAAAAACTTATTCAGGCCGGGCGCGGTGCCTCAAGCCTGTAATCCCAGCACTGTGGGAGGCCGAGACGGGAGGATCACAAGGTCAGGAGATCGAGACCATCCTGGCTAACACTGTGAAACCCTGTCTCTACTACAAAATACAAAAAACTAGCCGGGCGAGGTGGCGGGCGCCTGTAGTCCCAGCTACTCCGGAGGCTGAGGCAGGAGAATGGTGTAAACCCGGGAGGCGGAGCTTGCAGTGAGCTGAGATCTGGCCACTGCACTCCAGCCTGGGCAACAGAGCAAGACTCCATCTCAAAAACAAAAAACAAAAAACAAAAAAACTTATTGAAGTATCTTGACATTTGTTGTGTACTACATTCATTAGTTTATTCATTCATTCTCTTTTCAAAATGAGGATTTTAAATGAGCTCTCTTTAAGTCCTCTAGCTAACTTAAAAACAAGATACTGGCCGATTATGTGTCAGATGATGTGCTAGGCAATGGTGATAAAGAGTTGAGTAAAATATAAAGCAACTTAAAGACTTGGATAACCAACAGAAGAAGACACAAAGGGAGCTTTAGGAATTTGGAAGAAAAGTATAGGAGGTATAAGGTTAGACTTCATAGAGACAGTGGGGCGAGAGTTATCTAGAAGGGAGAAGCATGAGCAAAAGTATGGAGAAAGGGAAATAGAAAAATACATGGTGGATTCTGAGAACTGCAAGTAGTTCCATATAAAGGAAAGGAGTCTGTGTAGTATATTGAGAAGGTGACTATGAGGAAAATCCAGTAGAGATACACTAGCATCAGAACAAGGAACAAGTCTTTTTTTCTAATAGAGAATGGACTGCAATTTATATGCAGGAAAAGACATGATCGTAATTGTGTGATTTCAAACAGTATTCAACATGCATCACGCTGGGCACGGTGGCTCACTCCTGTAATTTCAGCACTTTGGGAGGCCGAGGCGGGTGGATCACCTGAGGTCAGGAGTTCGAGACCAGCATGACCAATATGGTGAAGCCCCGACTCTACTAAAAATACAAAAGTTAGCTGGTCGTGGTGGCACACACCTGTAATCCCAGCTACTTGAGAGGCTGAGACAGGAGAATTGCTTGAACCCGGAGGCAGAGGTTGCAGTGAGCCGAGTTTGTACCACTGCACTTCAGCCTGGGTGACACAGAGTGAGACTCCTTCTTAAAAAAAAAAAAAAAAAAAAAAAAGGATAGATCACGAGGAATGTTTGAAATGGGTGAGTCCAGATCGATCTGGAGATGCACTACAGAGTTTATGTGAAAGAATAAGACAATCTGGACTTAAGGCAGTAGTTGTCATGGGCAAGTAAAAGAAGGTGTTGGCGGGCGTGGTGGTTCACGCCTGTAATCCCAGCACTTTGGGAGGCTGAGGCAGGCAGATCACCTGAGGTCAGGAGTTCGAGACCAGCCTCGCCAACATGGCAGAACCCCCGTCTCTACCAAAAATACAAAAATTAGCCAGGCATGGTGGGTGTCTGTAATCCCAGCTACTCAGGAGGCTGAGGCAGGAGAATCACTTGAACTCAGGAGGCAGAGGTTGCAGTGAGCTGAGATCATGCCACTGTACTCTAGCCTGGGTGACAGAGTGAGACTCCATCTCAAAAACAAACAAACAAATAAACAAAAAGAAGGTGTTGATACTGTGTTTTAAAGAGGCTGAATTATGGGAGTGAGAAAAAGAAAGAATTCTAGGGCAATTCTCAGTTACTGGTTTTGTACAACCATGCAGAGGGTGGTGTTACATACTGAGAGGGGCTAGTAGATTAGGAAGGGAGTGGGGAAGAGAATGAAACATAATGTTACATTTTGTCCATGTTGAAATAAAGGTGAAACAAAGAATGAAACATAATGTTACATTTTGTCCATGTTGAAATAAAACATGCAGGGAGTTATACAATAGGATGTTGGGCTAGAATAGAGGTAAGATCTGGGAGTTCTCATATAGAGCTGGGAAACAGATGAGATGGCCCAGGAAGGGCACACAGATAGAGAAGATACAAAAACCATCTCTTACAGACCATCTCTAAACCAAGTGTATTTAAGTCAGAAATCAGTAATAAGATGAAACTTTTCAGAAATCATCATTTTAAAGTTTAAAAATACAGTTCAAAATAACTGATCTTCTAAGAAGATACACTAAATATCAATGTAATCAGTACATGTAAGAATTTATTGGATTAAGAAATGGTAACTAAAGTGGAAATTAGGGTCTTCAGTGCTTATATTACAAAAGAATAAAGTCCAAAATTCCATGCATTAAGCATTGAAATAAAGACGTTATAAAAATAACAATAGAGGCCGGGCGTGGTGGCTCAAGCCTGTAATCCCAGCACTTTGGGAGGCCGAGACGGGCGGATCATGAGGTCAGGAGATCGAGACCATGCTGGTTAATACGGTGAAACCCCGTCTCTACTAAAAAGTACAAAAAACTAGCCGGGCAAGGTGGCGGGCGCCTGTAGTCCCAGCTACTTGGGAGGCTGAGGCAGGAGAATGGCGTGAACCCGGGAGGTGGAGCTTGCAGTGAGCTGAGATGTGGCCACTGCACTCCAGCCTGGGCGACAGAGCGAGACTCCGTCTCAAAAAAAAAAAAAAAAAAAAAAAACAATAGAGTAAAACCCAAAAGAAGGCCTTTAAAAAGCAGAAATCAATACATTCAATGCCATCCCAATTGAAATCACAACAGGATTTTTGTAAAATCTGACAAACCAATTCTAAAATTTCTGTGGAAATGCAAATGGCCAGGAATAGCCAAGACATTTTCTTTAAAAAAAATTATTTTGTATCTTGTTTTCAGAGACACAGTCTCACTTTGTCACCCAGGCTAGGGTGCAATGGCACAACCACAGCCCAATGCAGCCTCAACTACAGGCGTACGCCACCATACCCTGCTTCGTTTTTTTTTTTTTTTTTTTGTATTGTGTAGAGATGGGGGTCTCCCTAGGTTGCCTAGTCTGGTCTAGAACTCCTGGCCTCAAGTGATCCTCCTGCCTCAGCCTCCTAAAGCAGTGGGATTGCAGGCGTGAGTCACTGTGCCCGGCCTGCCAGGACACTCTTGAATAATTAAAGCAATGTGGGAGGACATGCTTTACAAGACCTCAAGACTTACAAAGCAATGGAAATTTAAGACATTGTTGTCCTGGTGCTAGGACAGACAAATAATCCATTGCAACAGAATATAGAGTACAGGTCGGGTGCAGTGGCTCACACCTGTAATCCTAGCACTTTGGGAGGCTGAGGCATGTGGATCACCTGAAGTCAGGAGTTGGTGACCAGCCTGGCCAACATGGAGAAATCTCGTCTCCACTAAAAATACAAAAATTAGCTGGGCGTGGTGGCACGTGACTGTAGTCTCAGCTACTTGGGAGGCTGAAGCAGGAGGATCGCTAGAATCCAGAAGGCGGAGGTTGCAGTGAGCCGAGACCAGGCCACTGCACTCCAGCTTGGGCGACAGAGCGAGACTCAGTCTAAAAAAAAAAAAAAAGTCAATTCCAAGGCCAGGTGCTGTGGCTCATGCCTGTAATCCCAGCACTTTGGGAGGCCGAGGCAGGAGGATTGCTTGAGTCCAGATTTAAAACCAGTCTGGGCAATATGGCGAGACTCTGTCTCTACAAAAAAAATAAAATATATAGCACATACATAAAAATTAGCTAAGTGGGGTGGCATGCACCTGTAGTCTCAGATACTCAGGAGGCTAGGTGGGACGATCTCTTGAATCTGGAAGGTGGAGGCTGCAGTGAACCATGTTTGTGCCACTGTACTCCAGTCTGGGTGACTGAGTGAAATCTCATTTCAAAAATATATATAAATTCCAGATGTATTATAGACTTAAATGTGAAAGGCAAAAACTATAAAGCCTTTAGAAGATAATACGGATGGCTATCTTCATGACCTTGAATTAGGAAAATAGTTCTCAAACATGAACCATGAAAATTGATAAGTCTTTCTACAACAAAGCTTAGAACTACTATTCATTTAAAAGACAGCATTAAAAGAGAACAAAGGCAAAGTCACAGAGTAGAAGATATCTCCAACATACATTATCAACAAAAGGCTCAGAGCTAGAAGATGTAAAGAACTTGTACAAACCAGTAAGAAAAAAAGAGACCACCTAGTAGAAAAATGGGTGAAGCATTCATTTTACAAAAGAGGAAATCCAAGGCTTTAATAAACGAATAAAAAAAGATTTAACCTTCTTAGTAGCAAGGGAATACAAATTAAAACCACAATGGATACCACTACACAACCTCTAGAAAGTCTTAAATGAAAAAGACTGATAGTACCAAGTGTTGAAGAGAATATGGTGCAAGGAGAACTCTCATATTGCTGATGGAGGAGGTAGGAATTGCTACAATCACGCTGGAAAGTATTTTGGCCCTAAGTGGCAATGTTGAAGACATGCAAGCAATATGACACAGTGAGTCCACTCATGGAAATATATACGCCCACGTGGAATATATGCACATGTACAACAGGAGATGCATTCAAGAATATTTCTAGTGGCATTATTCAAAATATATATAATATTTCATGATAAAAAGGTTTAAAAACAGTGATTTAAAAAATCAGTATTCAAAAAAAATCAGTATTCAATATATGTACAGTATCTATTGTCTTTGTAAAAAAAATATTAAGGATATTTTCTTTTTCTTTTCTTTTTTTTTTTTTTTTTTTGAGACAGGGTCTTACTCTGTCACCCAGGCTGCAGTGCAGTAGCTTGATCTTGGTTCACTGCAACCTCCACCTCCTGGGTTCAAGTGATTCTCCTGCCTCAGCCTCCCTAGTAAGCTGGGATTACAGGCGCCCACCATCATGCCTAACCAATTTTTGTATTT